TGCGCGGCAAGACTGGCATGCCTATACGCATCGTTAGCGAATCGTGCCTCAGCTTCATTAATACAAACTGCTGATGCCTTTCCTGTCTGTGCGCGGTTGACGGAAGGTTGCTTTTACCCGGACCGTTTCCTAATTAAAAAATGAACGGCGTCTTCCTGTTGCACTAGCGGCGTGCTGGCTCCATCGTTTGATGCCATTGCCACCTGCGTTGCATCGTTCGCGCGACCGAATTGTACGCGGCTACTGTTGTAAGTGAAAGTAAATAGAAATGTCTTCCTAGTCGCGATGTTTTTTCGAATTCGAAATTTTCGTTTAGGCTGATTAACCACTGCGAGTTTTTGTTACAAGAATTATATCTCAGCCATTTACCGCATTTCGATTTTTTTTAAGTGAAATGTTGACAAGCGAGCAGGCGCCACCTGATGTTAAGTGAATACCGCCGCCCATGAACATCTGTTACACCCGAGGACGATGCGTGGACATCCTTTTGAAAATTGGGCTTCGGCTACCTCACTCACCAAACGAAACGAAACGCGAAAGTATTAGTCATACTTCCACTTTACGCCGGTCTTCTGAGGTCGTGGTACTTACCCGGACGAGCCTGCCCATTCGTGCAACGGCCGAGGCTGCTGCGTGGCCCTACTACAGATACCAGATTTGGTCAAATTTACAAAAAGCTATACGTAATAACGAAATATTTAACGGAACTTTCTTGTTATATATTGCTATATTTCAATTTATAAATGTAAATTAATTCATCTCACGGTTATGTGTGAATTTTTTTATAAGTCTCCTATTGAAATAGAGCAGATCGCAATTTATGGGTGATCTACATTAATTAAATAGACATCTGTTGAATTTTATTAATGTTACTAATTACTTGTATTTCATATATTGTGATTTGGTATACAATAATATAATATTTTAAGAGAAGCTTAAACGAAAATATGAATTTGTTAAAATTAAATTAATCTATATCTACCAATGTAAAATTAAAAGTCCCCGTTTTCATCTTAAGTTGTGATTTTCTTACGTGATAAGCATATTCTACGAGTAATCCACGTAAAGACACCATTCAGAATGGTGATTTCCTCAAATATTTTACTCACATTTGTATGTTTTATGTAAATATACTTTAAAAAGTAATAAATACTTTTACATTATTCGTTTACTGTTTCCACAAGTTTCAATTTCGTGTCTGACGTTGTAATAAAAATAAGAAAATATCAAGTTCTTGTTATACAAGAGCTTAAATATATTTTACCCCTAATGTTGTAGACAAAAACGTGCGGAATCGATATCTCACGGAGCTTATTAGTATATGTGCGCAGTATAGCACGTAATAACGTGGGTACAAAGTTTTTTCTTCACCTATTAATATACACGATTGCTTAATTTCTGCGACTTCGAGGGTTACTTGCTTTGTGGAGGAAGGAGACTTCAGAAATTATTCGCGGTTAAACATTGCACTGAAAAAACATACGCAAGCTTTTGTTTAGAAAGCTGTTTTCATCAGCTGTTCTGTCGAAAGTTACACGTATATGTCCAACTAGCTGGTGCCCGGTGCACTTCGCTTCACCTAGAAAAATCTTACGTTATCGTACATCAATTCGACCTATGGTTCAAAAGATAAAAAGCACTGCCACCAGTGCCACCTATCTGGCACTAACGTAACTATGTTCGTCGGAGTGGTCATATCACTCTTTATATATGTGCTAAGTTTCATATCAATTGGGCTAACGGTTCTCGAGTTTTAGGCGAACATACATGAACATTTATATACATTTCTTTTTATATATATGCTAGCGACCTGCCCCGGCTTCGCACTGGTACAATGCTGATACTAAATATACTCTACTGTACTATACATGTATTATACATATAAACCTTCCTCCTGAATCACTCAATCGATTTAAAAAATCCGCATCAAGATCTATTGCGCAGTTTTAAAGATAGACATACATAGGTACAGACAGACAACGGGACGTTTTATACTATGTAGTGATGATATTATTGACCGTTTCTTAGTGAACAATGAAACTCTTGCGATTTTTGATCACAACAGAGTGGAGAATCGAGCGACGCATCTCTGCCGCGAATTCCGACCTATAGGCACCAGATTTGGTAGGCACAATGCAACTGGAGTACTAATTAGACACTCGAAGGGCATCCGGCGCGCTCTGTGGAGCAATCAAACGGTCGTTGATTCCCCAGCCTCTTTGTGAGCGTACGCCGTGGCCGTTCGCTCTCGAAGAAGCGCCTAATGAGATGGACCGTTTCGTTTTGTTATTCCGCGAAGTGCGCTGCGACTTAATTTATGATCGCGTCTTTTTTTTTCCAACTCATTCTTTTATTAATTCGCGCTGGTGAGGAATCATATTGGGGTGTAAAAGGATGAATGTAGAAACGGGATTGAATTGTGTGTTTTGTTGTGATTAAAATTTGTCACTTTATTTTAATTATTTGACTTGAAATGACAAACAATGTGCAAGATTAAGTATTTAAAGAAACCATTTTACAAAAATACTTGCCTTGTTCGAGAAATATACCCACTGCCCGTGGCAGAGTGATTTACAGTTCGGCCACAATGCAAACGGAATCATTATACCTAATTAGTTTTCGTTTATTTGCTTGCATTCGTATCAGTCGCTACTGTCCACAATAACACGGAGGAAAATGTGTTTGCAAATAAATTAACAAAAATTAATTTGCTATGAATTTAAAAGAAGACATTAAAGATCTTAACTAGGTACTTTAAATAAACGCGCCTTTTTTTCTTCATACTGAAATATTTTATTTAGCTGTACTTAGTATATTTTAGGGAAATCACGTTAAAAGCTAAGCAATGTTCTTGGTAATGCACAATGAATGTAACTTGAGGATTTCGTCATGGTCGGTGGAAGTTGGACAGGTTATAGTACAATCGCTCGTGGGATTGAATCAAGTTACTGGGCTAAAATATCAACAACATATTTGAGTTGAAGAGACATCAACTTTTATGTAAGTAGCTCTTATCTTAATGATTTTTTGAAACACCTTAATTTTGTTTTTTTTGTTTGAGTGTTGTTAAGTGTAGTAATAAAAGAGATTTAACTTTTACTTTGAAATAAGTACTATGATATGCGTATTTTGAAAATTGTATAAAACAATGTTTCGAAAATTTCATAAGGAGCTTTAAAATCAAATGGTATTTTTTTTTTCATAAGGAGAAGTGACCGACGCGTTAGCGGTTCATATTTTTAAGTAATAATGCCTATGGATATAAGCCTCAACAACACTATAGAGGTTTCTGCTAAATTTCTTAAATGCAACTACGTTATACGTATAAATAAAAATAATCCTTTCTCATCCCGCTCGATCTTCAGCGAAATTGGGGTTATTTTCGCTCAAGCCCATGCATGTAGCGGCGGACACTACTACGTGGCTCAGCCAATCATCAAAAAGCATTGCACTACTAGTTACGATTACAGGCAAGTCACAAAGTTAACTTGATGTTCCCACGTACACTCACCACTCCGGGACTTCCATTAACTTAGCTTCAACAGAAATTGACACCTCATATATCTTTTGATTACCACAGTTTGCTATATGATTTAACACAATAATAATAGTCGAACTAATTCCCTTAATAAATAAAAAAAACCTATGCGCCTGTGCGCACATCAGCACACTTAAGTCTGGCTTTATAACATAAAAATAAATCCCAAAATGATTTCATCGTTGTAAAACGATATTTGAAAATATTTGTATTTTGTAAAGGATAGGTGCGCCAAGTATTGTTTGAACGAAAAAAGAATGTAGATAAAAGACGTTGAGATTTTCTTCGGTGTGACAATCAGCCATTTAGGTTAGTGGTTACAGCGTCTGGGCGCGAAACCGGAAGACGTGGGCTCGATTCCCGCAGCGGTGAAAAGCTTTTCGTCCTTTTTTCTACAAACGTTCTTGACGTTTGACACATTACTAAAAGGAAATTCGACCGATTTAATTGCTAATTTCATTTCGCTGTCTGCGCACATCGTAAATATTTATTCTCATCATTTTTCCTTAGCGCGACAAAGGTATTATAACTTCAATAACGTGATTGTCTCCCAAAAATGAACATAAGCCGAACAATCACACATACTATACAAATATCCTTTCGTTATTTTTTTTTAAATATTGCTCTCATTTTAGGATTACATTATCCTGTGTTGTAAGGACCCTTTACAAACATAAATTTCACGTGGACAAACACGACGACAGATATAGAACAACTGTCTGTGGGTCGCACAAATAGTTGTTCCTCCATCCATCGATCCCTTGTCCCCCGGCGCCGAAGCTGTTACCTTGGCAATTGCGTCACGGAGTCGATTCTGAAGTCATCGGAAAATAAGTGTTTGTTTCTGCATTACAAAGGATATTAGGTTAACAAAAGCGAATCTATTAAAAAACGTGTTTATCTTATCTCCTTATTATTCAAGTATCACTATCATGACAATTTTATCATTTTAGCTTAAGTCCACTGCTGAACATAGGTCTCTTTCATTATATATGTATGTCAGTATTGAAATCACAGAGACAGCTAATTTTTTTTTAATAAATTGTCCTAAAAATATTAGTTTATAGAAAAGAAATCACGCTCCCGTAATCTCTTTAAAATTTCAATACTATATGACCATAACCATTATACTACTTTATTAAAATAAAAAGCGTATACAACTATTATAATTATTTTAATGCATAAACAAGATCAATCTATCAATATTTTCAACTCTTTGAACTAAATATCTATGATAGCTACTTTTACTAAGGATTATAATAAATAACTATTTCTATAAAACATCTATCAATTTTTTCTTTGACAAAAAAAATACGTTACGCAGCTCTTGATTGCTTAGATCTAAGGCGAACAATCTTCATTCTCCAGTTGGACAAATGATGAATTAGTATTTAATAAGTGGCTCGAATTTCACAAATCTGTTCCTGTACGAAATATCAAAACAAGCACAGGGTTTAGTTTAAGCCTTGGCGGTGGTCGTTCCGGCAGTAGTACCACCAGTTCCTGCTGTTGTCGCAGCAGCAGTGGTGGCAGAGGGTGTCGGCGCTGTTGTGGCAGGAGATGAGCCCCAAGGTATCAAGGACATGGACCAAGAACCATTTGAATTGGAAACGGATACGCCCATCCCGTTCATGGGAGCTAAAACAATTCCACAAAAATAAGTATTCAAAAAAGTCAACAGTAGTTTAGAAATAAAAGAGCTATTCACCTTTTCTTATATATTCAGGTTTTATGAAAATAGCGTGAATTTTTCTAAAAATGTGCATAAAGCACCACAGCTAATAGTAATATGTGACGAAAAATTTTCCGTAAAAATTACTGACAAATATGTTGTATTACATGAAACATAAGATGTCACTTTAATCCCTATCATAAGTTACTATTTGCAAAATCTGTGTACTCAGTTACTTACAAGATATTGTAATTTTTTTAATAAAATTTGTCACTTACGAATCATCAAGTTCAGAGGCGGCATATTATTACGGCTAGGTCTGACAGTTGAAGGGCGCCTTGTAGGGCAGCCGCTGCAGACGTCAAAAATGTCGAGGTAGTCCTCCGTACTTGTGCTAGTAGAAGTTGTGCTCACGTCATCGTCATCGTCACAAAACAAGTCGCACCATAACCCTCCACCAAATAGTGGCTGCAATTTTTTTTAAATATATTAAATATTTGGCATAAATTATTGGTCAATGATGGTGAAAACGGTGCTAAATGGTGAAAGAAAGGGGCACAAAAAGATAAGGAGATAAAAAGACTGCAAAATAAGCATACAGAGAAATGGATGTAATGGAGAGTAATGATTATATACCCTCAGGTAAAGAGTTCAGAAACAGAATTAAATGGCACTGATAGAATTCAGGTCGTGCCAAAAGATATTTCAGATCACTTGTTCAGTGATTTACTCGTATTGCAAAATGTAGTTTAGGAATGATGTATATGAATACTTGATTAATGTTGAACAATAGAGAAGATATAAAATGAACAAGCTAAGTTTATATATATTGATCCTAATAACGACTATGTAGCTAAAAGTAAGATATTATATAAAACTTCCATGTAACAGCAGGGATGTTAAAATGTCATTGGCTAAGTGCATGGAACATCATATCGATACCGAAAAACAACAAAACTTTCGTTATTTCTAACAATTTGTTCTCGTTAGGTGCGTTAAAAACTACCAAACAAAATTTGATGGTAAAGATTATATAAGGGTATGGTTCGCTTTTCATCTATCGGAGCAGATCTACTGTTAGCAATCTACTTAAGAGAAGTACGAATATGATAACGGTGTAATATTCAGTGTAGAAGAGTCTGCTCGCGTGCATTTTTTTATTTAGAATGAAGGTAATTGATAGATAACTTGGGCGTTGCCCGCTATACGAGTGATGCTTCCATCTGCACAAATTAAAGCGTATGTAACATCATTTATCAAAATTGAAAAGTAACATTTTTAAGCCCCGGTCATTACATTGAGGAGAACTAAGATTGCGCTTTGGTATACAATTTATTTTACAATTGACATGAAAATATTTATTCGAATAAAAATGTTTTAGATAATATGTAATTAATTTAGTTTTACTGTTGTAAATCTCGTATTAAATTAAACGTTTATTGAAAAAATTGTTCAAATATTAAATATGTTTTAAAAATAATTCCATCATAACTATTTTAATGTGATGTAAGGCTCAAAGATGGTATCGGTTTTAATTATTTAAGTCACAGACGGCTGGGATAGCTCGAGGTTCAAATTTTAATGGCGTGCCAGTGCATTAGTAGGTACTCGTATTACATTACAGTTCTTTGATTCTCTTATATGCAAAAATAACTGCATTTCATTTTATTCCCGTGAGTCGCAAGAGTCTCGCTAGCTTTATTTAATTTATGTTTTTATTACCTTTTATAACTTTAATTGTTTTATATGATTTTAAATATAAAACAATTAAAGTTATAATTGTTTAATATTATTTTTTCAATAATAAACGAACAACGACAAAAATGAAGTCTTCTCTGTATAAATATCAGTAGCCCATGAAATACACCTTATGTCAGGTAATGAATAAAATAACATCAATTTACAAACCTTGCCAACTGTTAGGTAAAAATTCACTGAAAACACAAGAAATAACGTGCACGCCCTCAAAACACTCATGTTTGTTGTTGTATTATGAAAACTATTCTGTCCGTTTCTTCAGTACTTATAGTTCGGCCTTACGCAACTTGCGAGAATTACCAATAAATGCGTTGGCAAAGATTATTAGATGCACTTGTATTTAATAAATACGTAGAAATTATAAAATTAAAAAAAAAAATAACAGATAGCATTTAGCTTCTCGACACGACACGTATTTTGTTTCTCGGCCCCAGAACTGCAGTCTTGTGCTTGTTAAAAAAAGCACACCATCACCAACCTTGGTAAAGTATTTAGGATAAGGAACAAGGTTGCAATATTGTTTACTATTACGTATTCATTTGTAAAAGAAATACGATTCTTGAATAAGGGTTCCGTACTCAAAAGGGTTCCGTACCCAAAGGGTAAAACGAGAGCCTATTACTAAGATTCTGCTGTCTTGAATTTGAAATTGAAAAAAAAATAATAATTGGGGCTCCCATATAACAGACATGATTTTTTTCCGTTTTTATAGATAATGATGGATGTACGGAACCCTTTCTGCGCGAGTCCGACTTGCACTTGGCCGGTTTTTTGATTGTTAGAAGCATTGAATGTTATTTCTTTTACAACAAGTGAAGATAAAAAAGTTACATAATGAATATTTATGTACTTAAAAAACCATTTATTAACATCAAATAAAATATTTTTGAATTGATGTGAAATCTTTTATTGCTTAATGTGCATGAGAAAAAAAGCATTAATGTTTACAGTTTATTATATTATTAAAAGCCTTCTTATTTTTTTTTAAACAGTGAAGATAATAGACGTACATAATTCCGGCCTATTGGTAAATGAAACAAACTTGTGTCATTTTTCGCTTTTAATTTTGGTTAATGATGTCCTATTCCATGAACATGAATTTTGTAATTACTTTTACTTACTACAATTACAGCTTAAAGTTACTAACTTATCAGTAATCTGAGGTAAAGTATTAAATTATTAACTATTAAAAACTTTTCATTTAGGTATATTAAAATTTGGTCCTAAATTAATATGTAAATCCTTAAAATCTATTTTATTGGAATGTCGGTGGATGCCGTATCAATAAGAAAAAACACTCATATACTGTTATTATGCTATTGGATTTATTTATAAGTCCCTATGTAAAATGATAGCGATGACATGAGATTGAAAGTAGATGATCAAGAAAGAGAAGGTTAGGAGTAAATTTATTCTGTTCTGTGGTGGCATTTTATTTGCGAATAGTGTAAATATTTTTAACGAGGATCACGCGTAAAAAATTTGCTACGAAATAAACACTCAAGACCGACAGTGCAGTCACAATGAAATCATATTTGAGCCTCTACCATACTTTAGTCTTTGAAAGGAGTCGCCTTCAATTGTGTAGAAATTCTAATTTAACAATGTGCAAAGAGCACATGTGCTGTTTACCAGGACAAAATCTTTAAATTTTACTCGGCTATTGTAAGTCCAAGACGTTTGGTTACGGTCAAGTTTGAATGTCATAGCAAACGTGTGTGTACAGGAGGTTCGTGTCGGCTTATTGTATCGGACGCAGACATAAAGCCTGCGGAATACTAATTATTGCGAGGAACAAAGTCCGTGAGTTCTTTGAAGGCACTTGCATTTCGTCTTTATTTAAATTATGTTAACTTATTATACGTGAATTGATATTACAGAGGTCACAATTTAGTGGGAGGCGTTATTTAAGTTTAAGTGCAGAATATTATTTTGATACCTTTATAATGATTTTTAAAATTAGTTTAAGACCGTACAGCCGCAGTGACGTTTAAAGGTAAAGTTGAATTTTTATAATTTAAAACTAATTCATCTTTCTTTGTACGTCAGATAGATCCTTTATAGATTCCGTGCTGCTTAAATGGGGCAGCTGCTAAACACTTGTAATTCAATAAAATCCACGTTACATCTTTTTCATAGAAAAAACGAGGCAACGCTTGAATATTACTTCACCTGATAGTAAATAAAAATGTAACTTTAGCTGTTAAACGCACCAGAATGGGTTGGGAACACAGGAAAGTAATTATGAAACCTTTCTGGCTTTATTTCTATGGTGGACACTCGGATTGACCTTTTGATGCTTTTTTTTAAATGTTGTCCTTACTTTAAGATAACATTATCCTGTATTGTAAGGACGTTTTACAAACATAAATTTCACGTGGACAAAGACCCAGATACGAAACAACTAGTTATCTGTGGGTTACTCTAATAGTTGTCCCGTGTGGGAATCGAATGCACGACCTCCATCGCGGAAGACAATACCTTGGCAACTGTGCCACGGAGTCATCAACCAACTTTACTAACTTTACCGATACAATTGAGACAGCACTAACCACGAGTGCTGGGTTGCCATACAGAGCTTTTAATTTATAGTATGCCCGCGCGTTCTCAATGCATCGCGAAGCACTGCAGGCAACAAGAGCTCATCTTCACAATCCAGCTGTAGCCTCTGATTTAACATTTGGATCGAGTGAGGTCGAGATGACCTCTGGAGTCGGCAAAGAGTCCAGGACTCCCGCGGCCTCATAGCACGAGGGCAACGATGCGATTCTAAATTGCAGGGTAGGGAATACCCAGCACGGTTTCCCCTACACCGGAGATCTTCCGATAGTCACTTTTGAGTCACATCTAGAATGACCACGCGACTTCTCGGCGGTTCAGATTGTCGATCTATACGAAAGCTCCGTACGGGTTTATGGACCGCACGACTCCGGAGTATTGATAAAGTGTCTTCGAGTTCACCAACATTGAACGCTCATCGGCAAACCAGAATGAGGCCAAGATACATTGTCGACATAACCAAGACTGATGAATGATTATTTATTATTTCTTCTTAACTAACGGGTGGATAATGGCATTAATGCCGCCATTTTAAATTTTTGTACATTGCGTATAAATAAATAAATAAGAATAACAGGACATGTATAAAAAAGTTGTGGATTTTATTAACCCATTTTATTAACGTAATACCTATGCATATCCGCCGTCGCGTTTGCAAGGTTATGCCATGTCAGATTCACACAGACTTAAACCCTTACGATGTTCCATCTAGGGCGGCACCCAGCACAGAGCAACCATCACTGGCCATGTAAGTACCTACTCCTCGGGGAAACGCGCGATGGAACATAAGGTGCACCTTCCGGCGGCTACGAGCCCCCGAGTCTACGGCCCGGAGAAAAGAGAATTGAGATGCGATATAGAAAGAGTGATCAAACACCCTACCAAAGTTTCCCCTGTGACACCATCTCAGTCGCAGAGGACAGGGAGCCTTTCACAACTCTCCTTGCGTGTATCCAGAGAAATTATATGAAAGGGTAATAAATGATTACACTTCACATCATCTATGTGAAGTGTAATCATTTATTATCCCTATTAATCATATTTATATTAACATATTTTGACCTCTGAACAATACTCCACGTGATTTATGTTTTTTTTATGTGACAGAGTGGCATGCGAGTTGGCGGTTAAGTGATAATCTTATATCTTAAGTGATTACCACCGCCCATGGACATTTGTAACACCTCTAGGGTTGCAGATGCATTGTCGCCTTTTAACAAAGTGTGCTCCGGCTACTCATAGCCTGGCACTCGCCAGACGAAACGCAAAAGTATTTGTACTTACGCGGGCGGACCTACCCATTAGTGCAACAGTAACGACTGACTGTTCAAAGTTTAATTAAATATATACCATTCGCCGAGTCACAGATCTTTGGCAAATCCTACTCGTTTTTAAACATTCATATTTAATTTGGTAAACGGTTTTTAATCGTTGATTAAATAAACGAATCATTTGGATGATAAATAAACAAATAATAAAATTAACTATGTTAATGTTGCATTCACAATACGGAAGAGTATAATCTGCCTTTGTGCCTAGCGTATGTGGACTATGAGAAAGCCTTCGATTCTGTCGAAATTTGGGCGGTACTCCAGGCTCTTCAGCGGTGCCAAATTGACTATCGGTATATCGAAGTGCTGAGGTGTTTGTATAACAAGGCTACGATGTCCGTCCAAGTACAGTCCAGTAGTACAAAACCTATCCATCTGCAGAAGGGTGTAAGACAGGGTGATGTCATATCCCCGAAACTCTTCACCGCTGCGTTGGAAGATGTTTTCAAGCTTCTGGACTGGAAAGGACGAGGTATTAACATCAATGGCGAATACTTGGGTGCTATGCTCAATGACCTCAACAGTGTCTCCCAACGGGTGGGCCTTAAGATGAACATGGACAAGACGAAGATCATGTCTAATGTCCATGTCACGCCTACACCGGTTGTCGTTGGGAGCACTGAGCTCGAAGTTGTTGACGAGTACGTTTACCTAGGACAGTTAGTCCGGCTAGGTAAGTCCAACTTCGACGCAGAGGTCAATCGGCGAATCCAACTCGGATGGGCAGCGTTCGGGAAACTTCGGCAAATCTTCTCGTCGAATATACCTCAATGTTTGAAGACTAAAGTCTTCAATCAATGTGTGTTGCCAGTGATGACCTACGGAACCGAGACGTGGTCCTTCACTGCTGGCCGTATGAGGAAGCTCAAAGTCGCTCAGCGAGCTATGGAGCGGGCTATGCTCGGTATTTCTCTGCGTGATAGAGTTCGTAACGAAGACATCTGCAGTAGAACCAAAGTAACCGACATAACTCAGAGGATTAGCAAGCTGAAGTGGCGATGGGCCGGCCATATAGCTCGTAGAACCGATAACCGTTGGGGAAGAAAGGTTCTGGAGTGGCAGCCTCGTACTGGCCATCGCAGTGTAGGACGACCCCCCACTAGATGGAGTGACGACCTGTGCAAATGTGCGGGAAGTCGATGGATGCAGGTGGCTCAGGATCGTACTTCGTGGCAGTCTGTGGGGGAGGCCTATGTTCAGCAGTGGACTCAAACAGGCTGAAATGATGATGATGATGTTGCATTCAAACAGCTATAATTTGCACTAATTTAATATATTATTGATACCTATTTTTATTTAAAATTTGCGGAAGAATTTTTCGGTTTGCATTCCACAAAAACGACAGTATTTTATAGGGTCCTATTTGTAATTTAAATAAATGTTTGATATTAAGATGCAGCTATACGAGTATAAATTGTTATTCCTATTATAAGTCACAAATTGTTTTAATAAAATATTTTATTTACAAATAAAATTATTTCAATCGAAAATTTGAAATTACAGAAAATTTGAATATGCGGTCTATAATAGACCGCATATTCTGAACATGGTCAAAAATGAATAAAAAAACGATATATGTAATTTATTCGAGGCATAAAGTTATAAAGGTTATTCTTCTGTCGCTGTCGCGGTTTCATTAGCCAGACGTATTGGAATCGTATGTTATTCCGGGACGCTTCATTTGGCCGCTTACATCCACAAGTATCGGAGAATAGTTAAATCTGGCCGGAGTCGAAGAGCAGCCCGTATGCGGTATCGGGAACACGTAATTTATATCGACGTCATATCTGAAAACGCATGGTAACATTGCCACGATAAGTGTGTTGTAGTGGGAAGAAACAAATGCAGCCACAGTTTTAATGACGCAGAGCATAGTACTACTACTTTAAAGAGTCGATGGATCAGGAGAATCGCTTGAGGGTTTAGTCAAGCGATTCTCCTGATCGTAAGTGATAAATGATATCATAGTATAACATTTATAATGATAGTATAAATTATTTCATTTCAAGTCGGTCTTTTGTATGGCCGTTATATATTATATATGAAGCCGCTGCGTAGCTCTACTGCGTTATATATTATATATGAAGCCGCTGCGTAGCTCTACTGCAGTAAAACTATTAGTCTTTGGAAATAATAATAATAATTGCGTTTTCCTTTTTTTTATGTGAGACGGCGTCAAGCGATGTGGTGATTCACCTGATGTTAGGTGATAATCGCCGCCCATGGACATTTGCAAAACCCGTAAGGTTGCAGGTGTTCTGCTATCTTTTAACAAACTGGGCCCCAGCTGGCTCATTCATACTTCCCCAGACGGGCCTTGCCATTCATATATATATATATATATACATGTGTTACAACTTTGTAATGTAATGAACATCGTGGTCAATGAACAACGCCCGGAACCTTGGAGAAATAGTGAACTTAAATATTTACAACCAATCAATATTTTAATCTTAATTTCTTCAATTTAAACAAATCACGAGAATTAAAATATTGATTGGTTGTAAATATTTAAGTTCACTATTTCTCCAAGGTTCCGGGCGTTGTTCATTGACCACGATGTTCATTACATTACAAAGTTAAACTGGTATTGATGTTCAAACCGTATGTTTCTGCTCTATTTGAAATAACGTGCGAAACATAATTGCACTTGTGCTCAATACATCGCAAACGATTAATAAATACTGATACTCTGGATAAGGAGATTTCGAATATTTAAAATCGTTAGTCTCATGTATTACAGAATTGAAGAACCAAGAAGATCTAAAGAACGAAAAACGGTATTTAAACATTTGGGAGTGGGACAGTTATGATAAACCTCATTAAATCGGGCAAGTATACGGGGTCGACCGGTCGTTCCTAATAAAGAAATTGATGAATATTTCTTAAATTACTATGGACATTGTCACCTCAGTAATAAGTTATCTTTTTCGTGTCATGGTAAAAATGTACCTAGGTAATTTGTCTCTTAAATACGCCATCACATTCTTAGGCAGGGTCGTCTTCCGGGATAATATGAACGCGCTCAAATAGCGTGCACCCTCTCTTTGTTCCGCGCAGTGCAGGAGGAGCGCCCACGGTTTTGTACTCCGTGTCAAGTACGTAAGTGTTGTAAACGCCGTCATCTGTAATTAATGCATTATTTTATTATCAATAAGTGATTACCACCGCTTACCCCATCATGACAAGGTAACAGAAACAACTATACAGCGCTACAAACGGTGGTAGGGCCACGCAGCCACGGCTGTTGCACGAATGGGCAGGCTCGTCCGGGTGAGTACCACGATCCCGCAGAAAACCGGCGTAAAATGGAAGTATAATACTTTCGCATTTCGTCTGGTGAGTGAGATAGCCAGAGCCCAATTTCCAAAAAGGTTGTCAACGCATATGCAAACTCTTGGGTGTAGCAGATGTCCATGGGCGGCGGTACTCACTTAACATCAGGTGAACCGTCTGATCGTTTGGCACACGTTTGGCACTTTCACATAAAAAAATAAACAATAGTGAAAGGTCATATAATGAATCTAGAAATCCTCGCTTTCACAGCTGAAAGATGTAATAAATAGTAATACAGTGAAATTATCGTTTAAGGTGATCCGAAGAAACAAGATCAATATACGCTACAGCATTGATAAAGATATTTGTCGTAAAGTCAAGAAACAGAAGAGACTTAACATAAGTCTTCACCGCTGAAGTAGTATCAGTGGTGAAGACTTATGTTAAATCTTCCAAAAGTAATCGAACGGAAATAGGAGATAAATTATAGATACATTATTTTGGGCTAAAGCGATTTTGAGCTAAAGAGAAAGCCAAACTAGGAAGTTTTATGTAGCTCCGATATGATACGATCAGGTACAAAATATTTTATGATACCATGCACACAAAGAATACAAAAAAAAATGTGTTCTTTGTGACATTTTCTTTTTTTTTTTCTTGAAGGGAAGTTGTATTCAAGATGTATCAAACTATTAGTAAAAATAGGCGATTACAAACGGCAATTCTTTCATTGCAACTAAGGTGTTTCATGTAGGTCAGTTTCTTTAACGTGATATTTGAAATTGCCAATCCCTAAAGGAAATGTGTTTCCGTCAATTTATAAAGAATATGCTCATAGTTAACAATTCCAATTTGCACCATTTCCTTTGTCAGTTTTTCTTCAAATTTTAATGGTTGTTATTACAGACGTGTGATATGAAAGCAATGGAAGAGTAATTATAGATAGGGATGGACAAATAAAGCGTATAATGAGGGGTCATTCGAGACCACATAACAATATTTATTGCACTTGACATTTCATATTATTGGGCTTTTATACAGCGTGTCGTTACAACGGCGACAATAAATAAACACACGTCTAACGCTACTTGCCAATAATCATAAAAAATATTAAAGTTAAACAAAATCCATAATTAAAAAAATATATTTTTCAAACAAACTAATTATTAAAAAAGAAACAAAATTTTTAATATCCTATACAACTCGCGCCACAGCGTCGTATTACAAGCCTCTCCTTCTAACAGTATGTTTTGTCTCTTTTAAATTCATTCAACCCATTCATATGCTTTGTGATCTTTACAAATGAACTTTACGTTACGCTTTTATAGGTAAGAGTGTTCTAAAATTCTTTGTTTTGGAAAATTTAATAACTCTGTAAATATTGATGTTTAAAGAATTTAAATGTTTAATACAACTTTAAAAAGTTATCCCCTATATGTGTGTTCATTTATTGTCGCGACGGTAACGACACGCTGTATACAGGCTGGCTTTGCTAAAGGTGCCCAAATTCACACAGAAGGTTTAAACTCGGTAGTATAATCGTTTATTGAAATTAAAAAAAACTTTTTTTTTTCAAAAAATTGCCATTCTATTCCCTAAAAAACAGAACTTGTTGACAGTGCGGTAGTCATTCATAAATGCGTCGTATACTTTTGAAACGTACTTGTGTGCGTGTTAGTTATGAATAATCGCGCGTAAAATAAATGAGTTGCTCATAAATCACACAGTTTTTGAGATAAGTTCAAATGAATGTAAATAATTAATTACGAGTGATTTTAAATATTTATAATTTTTTATATAACATTATTTATGTCTAGAATTTAATAAAAAAAAATGGATATCACTTAGAAAAGCTTCCTGTTTAAGGATAGCCTAAGTACGGCTATCCTTCAGCTCACTGAAGACTAAAGAATAAAAGAGCAGGAGAAATTATGAAACTAGGTTTGTTCCATTCAGACAAAGTTTTGTGAGGTCCTATGTTTCCTTCAAATTTTATCTAATAATTTTTTTAAACATAAATCTTTGTTAAACATATCTAATAATTTTTTTAAACATAATTCTCCCTGTCAACAAATTTAAATACATATGACACGGAAAATTTAGAATGTTAGCTAAAAAACATTTTATTTGAACTTTAGGTGTCTTCGTACTTATGCGTTTCTTTTGGTGAGTGAGGTAACCGGGGCCCGCGTTGTTAAAAGATGACAACGCATCTGCAACCCTATTGGTGTTGCAAATGTCCATGAGGGCGGTTATCACTTAATCTGGCGGTTCTTCCTTAAAAAAGTTCTTAATTCTCGACTGTCCATTATTAAAAACTAGTTTTTACCGTTTGTCCGTGTATAATGTTATGAGGGCTTATACCTGTTAATAAAAAGTCTCCGCAAAGCTTCAATCCAGCCCATGCGCCACGTTTAAGGAACGAAGACAAATATTAGCATTTATAATGTGCTGAGATTGTGTACGCGATGTGCTACGTTTTAGGAACGAAGACAAATACTACCATTTATAAGTGCTGAGATTGTGTACGCTATGTGCTACGTTTTAGAAACGAAGACAAATATTAGCATTTATAATGTGCTGAGATTGTGTACGCGATGTGCTACGTTTTAGGAACGAAGACAAATATTAGCATTTATAATGTGCTGAGATTGTGTACGCGATGTGCTACGTTTTAGGAACGAAAACAAATATTAGCATTTATAAGTGCTGAGATTGTGTACGCGATGTGCTACGTTTTAGGAACGAAAACAAATACTAGCAATTATAATGTACTGAGATTGTGTACGCGATGTGCTACGTTTTAGGAACGAAGACAAATATTAGCATTTATAATGTGCTGAGATTGTGTACGCGATGTGCTACGTTTTAGGAACGAAAACAAATACTAGCAATTATAATGTGCTGAGATTGTGTACGCGATGCGCGTGAACTTACAAGTGAGCTCCGAATGGGTCCAGTGCGCGGGCTCGTTCAAGTCCACCCGCCAAGTTATGTTGCCGAGCAAGTTCTCGCCCAGCGGATCGTCGGCGAAGCGGTAAGTGAAGTTCATCGTTACACCCGGCGTCCATTCTACGGATCCGTCTGGAATAGATAAGCTATTCATTATTGGTTTCATGTTTTTCCGCGAATGTTACACATTGTGAAATGAAACTATTTAATGGATTTTATCGTGTTTAATAAGGTTTTGAAGTTAGTGCTCCGTGACCGTGAACGCTGGAAAGGATTCGAAACGTCGAGAATTTAATCATTATCATAGTCAATGTGTTGCGATCACTGAAACAGTTATGTAATGTGTTTGTTATTGTAAAATCGATTCGCACAAAATATTGCCTGTAGTAAATAAATAAATATTTAGGACACATTTTTACACAACGTTCTCTAGTCCCAAACTAAGCAACGCTTGTACTATGGGTACTAGATAACTGATAAACATAATTTTATTTTGTCAATAAATACATATTATACACATATGGACACCCATACACTAGAAAAACACTATTTTCATAACACAATATTTTTCCAGTAGTGGGGATCAAGTCCACAATCTCTGGCGCAGGAGACAAGGTACACTATCCACTCCGCAATTTGATACGATAATATTATATTGTCGTCGCCTCTGTGACGCTTTAGGTGGTTAAGAGCTCCCAACGTTTTTATATTTCGTACGATAATGAATTGAAAAAGAAAATAATATTTAATGTGAAAATACAAAAAAAACAGAAAATAAAACCGTTTAAAAACTTTTAAGTTAAACGGTTTTATTTTCTGTTTTTTTTTTTGTGCACTGAAAACTACAATATTGTATTGTCATCTAAATTAAATGTGTGTGCCAAATTTCAGATCAATCTGACAACGGGAAGGTGCTTAAATTTCAATTTCTAATTTTGACCCAAATAAACAAATAAATTCCGTACGTGTCGAGCTAAATAAAACCGTTTAAAAACAAGGAAATCAGACTTAATAGAAATAGAAATAATTAGGCTGGTGCACCCCACAGCACGGATAGTTTATCGCATCGCTTCTTATATTAAAATACGTTTATGATAAAGCTTTCCTTCTTTTGTCCTAAATAGCGAACTAAAGTATACGTTTTTCACATTTTCCATATATTTCTTCAACTGATTATCTTAATTAATCATATTGGTAATGTGTAAAACAAGAAAGGAACTTACTTTTAATGTGGCCGGTTCTGAATGTGAGTTTTTGCTAATTTTTCAAGGTTTTGTGTTCATTGTTTTGAGAAAAAAAAAGACAATTAAACGCATACCTGCAGCTTGTACATGATCATCCTCTGTGAATACGGCTCTCATGCAGCTGTAAGATAACGCTTCTTCTGCGCTTGCGTAGTACTCCACCACGAACCAATCGCCCAACATCTGTATTGCATAAATTAATATTTATGTCCATTAATATAAAGTTTTGTTTTAGAAGTAAAAATAAAGTCGAACTATAAAAGAGTATTCCCCGGCTTCCTCACTCACGAGTCGAAATAACAAAGTATAGGTAATACTCCCCCTTAACGCCGGTCTTTTGTGCAACCATAGTACTCATCAAACGAGACTTCGCTTTTGTGCAGTAAACCAGGTGCTGCACAATAAAATAGCCTTAGCATATTAAAATGCACGATCATAATTATTTAACTCAATGCCTTAAATTTTGTCTATTGCATGATTGCTGAAAGTTTTTGAGCAGGCGCAAAGGTGTAATCTCCTTATTGTCATTGTTTTATTATAATTTCGAAAAATTATCCAGAAAGGATAAAAGAACTAGAACTTTTTTAATTTAAACTTCTGCTTTTGTGAATTTAAACTTCTGTTAAATTTCCGCATATATGTATATCTCCAAGTAAATATTACAACTTTGAATTGACTATTACGACCCTGTGGTATTTTTCTGAAATAGATTTTATATCTACAATGAACTGATAATACTCACAAAGCTAATTGAGAATTTTGTTTAAAAAATGTTTCTTTTTGAGTCTCTATACTAAATTTAAAAAGACAATTGATCCTCACCAGACAAGGGAAACAGAGTGTTTTATAAATGTTAAATCATCGGTCTCGTAACATACTGTAACATTACCATTGAGGTCTATTTTTAAAGTAAAATAAAAAGTAATTTTAAAACAAATCATACACATTTGATCAATAAATCGTTATAGACTAAAACCGTGTACATAGTACTATAAAATAAAACTAGTTTACGTATTTTATCGATTTTACGCCAGAAAGGGTTCGAAACGGCGGGGATTATAAAATCAAAATTAAAACGCAATAAGATCCTATTTTCATTTAATATGTATAACATTCTCGTAAAATCAAGAAGTCAATAAATAATAGTATTGTGTGTCGGTGAAGTCAATAAATAACAGTATTGTGTGTCGGTTTCATTACAGATCGTTTTTATAGTTATTTTCCCATAGAAATTATTCTATATACCTATCTATCAAACGTTGAATTTGCGAAAGTGATTGGTCAGCACATTATTCGACATGTTAAAAATTTCGTATAATGTATTCACCTGGCTATAGAACTGAAAGTGAAGCTTTCGCATTGATTGTTTATTATTAGACCATACTATCTGTATCCATTGTTACCGAATAATGTATTCATACGTTTAAATTCAGCTGTCATTTTAAGCACCTTATTCCTTTGTGGACAATAAGTTATTGTGGATGTAGCTGTTAAGTCTAAACACCTCACTCTGATTTGGTTAAAACTTAACAAATATAAACAAGGTGAACCGTCTGCTCGCTTGGCAAATTTTTCATTAAAAAAATTGAAGGTTTTGTAACTTTGATGGAAAAGTAAGGAATTATTGATACTTTTGTTGTTTTTATTAATTTTTTTATTACTGAAAATGTTCCTTTCTAAGTGATTTATCCTAAAGATCAACTTAAAAATATTTACATATAAATCAAATGTTTACGACAGTCATTAAGAGATACTACGAATTATTGATTATTTATTTAATGTGCGCACTTTATCACACTCATTAGTAATTTTTGTTGATTTTTTGAGAGAAAGAGTAAAAGAGACGGAGAGGGAAGTTGAACGCATTTTAACGTAAAGCAATCATAATATGTTTACTATTTCTACAATCATAATTGGTCAATCCAAATGACGAGTCTTCGAAATTCGAATTATTCCACACATTATTTAGATATGTAAAATATCTATTTTATTTGTACGTACTAATTTCATGTCAATTGATATAGGAGTTTTTAAATTTAAGATTATACTTTAAGGCGAAAAGAGAAAGCTCATTTTAATATATAAATAGAAAACTAGAACAATTTGAATTTGAAATTCTGTAACATCTTAAAGCATTTATTTATGAAAATTTTCATATTATATTAAAAGTGCTTCTAAAGATATAGTTGATGTTGTTATAAATAAGCTAGTTAATTATTTTTGATGGTTTGTTATTAATTTCTCAGCGCAAATTTTAAAAATCAAGGATTCATTTTGTATTAATTCAAAAAATTCGTAAAGATCTTAGCAAGCTTAATATTTAAGAGATACAGTGACATAATATTGTCTGAGTTTGCTATTTGAGTTCTCAAATCTAATAAAGACAAGAATTAATTAATTCTTTTCTAATTTTATTTACAGTTATATGTCCATTATATAATCTTTTAGAAACTTTACATATTTATTCAATCTATTCTTTGCAAAACATAATTTCACTCTATTCTCAACTTTGAAAGTTAAACCCCGATTTCACATAATCTTATTTGCATGTACATATACAAGATTTATAACGTGTAAAAACATTTAATTGTACTGTAAATGGATATTTACCATGACCCGATGAAATAACCTCCTAGAATGCAGCCGTCTTGCCTCTATGAACCATTAATACGAAGGTAACCTTCGCTGTTCAGCAGGTGGTCTGCCATCAATAGGCGCCGACGTGACGATATAGGTCGCCGTTTTTTTATACAGTTATGTGAAGGATAAATGCATATTCATCGATTGCTCATCTGTGGTCGAAATAGAGCAGCGCGTGAGATCCACTTTCGCGACAATAACACCCATGATTTTTCTTGGTCTCTATCGTTCACTGTATGCCTTGAGAAGGCCTTTACAGATCCACAGCACAGGGCTTGAGGTGGCCGAGCGCTGGGGGCGCCTAGCCTGTACCTCGTTTATGGGTGGACACCTATGATGATTCGAAATACCACACAGGTCATATCTCGATGAGCGTAGTTGTGTATGCAAAAAGATGGAGCATACTCGGAGTATCTCAGCAAAATTATTTGCGTAGACTCAAAAATTAGATCCTTGTTCAGGTTTTCTAAAAGTTTAAAGCGCATTCTGTTTTTATTATTACTTTAATTATGTAATCTAGTTGTTTTTAACGGCTATTTTCATTTACCTTTTAGAAGAAAATAGGTAGGATAATAAATAATTTTCTTAATAGTATACTTTTTAGTTTTATGTTTTCAGGGTTGCATTTCAATGATGATTATATTATGTTTTATCCAAGTTATTTTTTTTGGATCATACTAGACCTTTATACCCCCTTTCGGCTTTAAGGATATTTGGTAACATCTATATGCACCTACATCGCACTATGTCGAGAGGGAATGTATCGGTAAATGTGGCAGATGTAAATTGCGACTAATAATCCTTCAAGATATTTTGAAACACATAGATCGTTACATGAAAAGTTATAACATAAATTATTCCATCATGCGAAATTGTCCAGCTAAATAATGTGAAACGTCTGACATTATTCGTATACAGTATCGAATCAAACTGTAGTCATATTTTTATTTTTGTTCCGTAAAGGCAAAAAAATTTTTCGCATCATACTCTATAACCAAATATCCTTAAAGCGGAGTGTATAAGGATTGTCTTATGCGTCCTCCGTGCGTATAAGCGCGCTTTTTATATTTTCGGTTGATATTTTAAATTATTTCAGTATATGGCCAATTTTCAAAAGGTTGTCAACGCATCTGCAACCCTCCAACGGTGTAGCAGATGTCTATGGGTGGCGGTATTCATTTAACATCAGGTGAATCGACTGCTCGCTTGGCAACTTTTCACATAAAAAAATATGGTTATTGTTTTACGTGTTTTATACGTTTTGTGTACTGATTGCTTTTAAATGTCAAGTCTCCTGGATACTATATGAAAATTAAGGACTATTTGATTCTCAAATAATTTTCCAAATTGTGAATGCATTCACTTTGATAAGACAATTTTTATTTAATATTTGTTTGAACTATAGGCAAACATCAGTGCGTTCAATCTTTCAACTCTTATCACTCGTCCGCCGCCCACACTTGATTAATTTACCGCTTATATATATTTTGTTGCTTCATGATTGTGCCCATCGAAAACAGTAATTATTATTCAATTTTTATGTAAGATCTGCTATGTGTTAATAACATTAATCTCAATACAAGCTCCGCGGACACTCAGGCAGATTGAAGTCTTCCAACCTTGATTTTAGAAGAGTTATCTGACTAAAAATTTTCAAGCCGCTTTATTTCTTAATATGAGTATTAGTATATTTCAGACTATTTTACACATTTATTTAATTTTTTTTTGTGTGACGAGTTTCGTTATACAAGATTTCTCTTATTTTAGATGCAAGCCATCATTTATTTATATCGTAGCTTGTGGTAAATAAGATATTGTAATTTTTTTGAACTTTATTACAATTTAATAGGATTCAGTCATTGATTTTGTCTATTATCTAATAATCATAATAAAGTTGATTTTTACGGTGGTCATAGTTGAGTCAAAGACAGTGACAAATATTGATCGACTATGAAGCGCTCTCAAGTCTTCGTTTTATGCATTTGCCAATACATTCATGTCTGTAACTAGCCCTTGATCGATTTCCATAAAATCTATCAAAGTAATCAGATCACCTACCTGAGACAAGTCAAAGTGAGGTACGGCACGTACTTCTGGACATTTCCTTTTATTCACAATCCTTCCGAACGCAACGTTGCATAATACAATCGCAAATATACTCAGGAACAACATCGTTTTCGCCATGATTTAGAATAAGCGCAACACTCTCAACAAATATTATGGCACAGTCAACAAAAATAATGAAATTATCGGCGGAGTAAATTGTTGTTTTTATAAGTTGCTTGCAATGATTTCAAAACGTATCACTCATTCGAGGAATAATGTTGAACTAACAAAAGGGGATCGTTATCAATATTGTACGGGACATTTGTTAATGTGTTGGCAAGGGACGCTAACAGCATACCATTATCGACTACTCGTGACTCATCATCCATTCGACCATTGTTTTTAAACTATTTTGCTACGGGGAAGATTTGATGGACAAAAGATATACTCGTACATTCATGTTCATAGCTCGTTGTGCACATTCCACTCTCCACCACCACCACGTACTTATTTTTTATCGTTATGTGTAACCAAAATCAAAATAATATTTCCAAAAGTAAAAGAAGAATTATGTAAATCTAGGTAGATATTATAACCGCATAAACAGACGTGTTTTACTGTAGATAAAAATAAATAAATATTTAGGACACATTTTAAAACAGTGTTCTCACAACAATGTTCTAGTCCCAAATTAAACGCTTGTAGTATGGGTACTAGTTAGATACTTAAACATACTTTTCTTATGTAAATAAATACATATTATAAATATATAAACACCCACACACTGGAAAAACACCATATTCATCACACAATACTTTTCCTGTAGTAGGGATCGAACCCACACCCTCTGGCGCAAGATGCAGGGGCACTACTCACTACGCCAATCGGGTCGTCAAACGCCATTTGAACCTCGAGCAGTAAGAACATTCAAGCCAAGTGCTTGGCTTTACTGAGTTAGAGCGGAATTCCTTTGACCCCATTTTCAAACCCCATACTCGGTCACAATCCGGGCGATTTGAAGATAACCAAAGTAAGAAACATTTAGCCATTAGCCAGTAGATACACCTCAGTACCACTTTACTACACCAAACGTCTTCAAAATACCATGTTTTTATAGCGGTTTGACGAATATATATATCAATAATATTTCAACTTTGTTGTTAAAATCACAAAATTTTTCCGTAAACTCTTAGAAACAGGTGTGATGGTCGACTGGTTCCTAATCGTAGATATTAAATAAATTTTTTGCCGTTACAACGTGTTTTTATAACCTACTTTTGTAACGTCGCGACGAAGATGTTCGTACAGGTTTTGTAATTTGTCATAAAACGCGACAGGATTTTCTGGTACCTTTTAAAAATGGCTCAGTTTTATCTCCCTTTTACGATCGCGATAAGTAAATAAATCCGATAGTATGTGAACACAATTTCAAAATATAAAATTGCTATTGATGATATTCTAACATTGTGTATCTCTCAAGCTAAAACGTCTTCTTTTGATTGCCAATTTTGCCCCGGCTATCTCACTCACCAGAACAAAACCTTTACCATCCTTCCTTTACCATTAAGTTAATGTTTTTACTTTACCAAATTGAATCAAACGTTAATGCAGAAGAATGCAGATTTATAAATCCAGTCAAGTGTCCGAGATATTTTTACAAAGGAAAGTGTTTTTACTTTTGCCATCCCGTGTTCCGTATGCTATTTTCACCGTTTGTACCTATCTCAATGCGGTCAAGAGAACATCTTTTTATTATTCATGTCCGTACTCTGTTGTGCATATTAGGTATTTTAAATTACATTGCCATTCGCCTACTGGGCATTTTGATGTGACGGAAGTGTTCAAGGTTTACTTTTAAAGTAAACGTAACTAAAACAAGGTGAGGAAATTTTATACCTACTATTTCTAATTACTGCTACTTGTAAGAATTAATTGCCTTTTGTTATTTTAATTTTGATTTACTATTTGATACAAATTATTTTGAAATAATTTTTGTATAATAAATTAGTGCAATATTGCGACGCCAGCGCCAGATAGTAAGTTAGAAAAGAACTGTATTAAGACAATTATGTATATTCCTAATTCTCAAACTTATGTTTTTCATATAAGGTTTATATACACATTTGTGAATAAAAATAATAAAAAGTTTTTTGTTCAATATTATGTACGTAAATATTCGCTTAGAGTCCGTAGAGTAATCACGAATGCGACCATTCTGTCGGTTGTGAGTTCATCGTCCGTTGTTCGTAGCTTACGGAACATCCGTGCGAATCTAAATTAGCTGGCACCTCGGGAATCACAATCAATACCTTTTTGTGGTGTGCCTAAAGCAAACAGAGCACGTACAAGGCAGCCGCACACTTTCTTGACATTCCTTAAAACCTTTCCTTCGACGTTCACCACATACAACAGTCTGCGCACTTAAGCTATACATGATCGATTTTTGGGTGTAATTTTCTTGTTCCTTACATATTCTGAATGTATTTATTGGGCGTTTATTTCAATTAGTTATTTAATCTTTATTGCCAACGTTAAGGAAAAGGAGGTAACAAAGGGCGGAGCAAATGCCCAAAGACATTCTCTTCCAGTATGTGGTGAGAGTTTATGGTAGGTGCAGCAAATGAAGAAAGATTAATTAAATTTTAAACAATGAGAATATTTATATATACATAAAGAATAAGAAATATATAGTACATAGCATTTATTATAATGGGCATTAAGTTGGGAGAGCACGGAAAAATTATTGTGGTACTTTTTTGTTTGCGGGATCGTGATTCTGAAACGACGGATTTGTTTACTACTGTACCCTGATACCCCCTGCCTATATTTTACGGTAACTACGTTAATTAACCGCCTATAACATTAATCATCATTCCATTCTTGATCACAATAAAGTTAAAATTGCTCTATAAACCTACATATAACTAAAGTTTAAAAACTGGGTGTGGCTGATTTAAATTTGTGACCATTCCACATTTTTGCTATTCATAAAGATTGTCCTAAAAAACTAATTTATCCATTTTATTCTGTTTACTTTTGATTATTTTAGTTCCTTAGATTTCGAAAACTTTACTGCGTCACGGGACAGAGTATTAATAAATCTTTTATGTACTAGTCATATTATTCGTGCGAATGAATAACACTTTACGATTAGTCTTTTTTTATGCGAAAAGTTGCAAACGAGCAGACAGTTCACCTGATGTTAAGTGAATACCGCCGCCCATGAAAATCTGCTTCACCCGAGGGTTACAGATGAGTTGACTACCTTTTGAAAATTGGGCTCCGGTTACTTCACTCACCAGACGAAACGCGAAAGTAATTGTCATACTTCCACTTTACGCTGGTCTTCTGTGAGGCCGTGGTAATTACCCGGACGGGCCTGCCCATTCGTGCAACAGTCGAGGCTGCTGCGTGGCCCTACCACCGTAAAGTCTTGATAATTATTGTGCTATCGTTTTAGTTCAATACCGAAAGTTTTAGAAGATAACATGTGGTGGGAAAGTAGAATACTTATATCGTATTACAATAATTGAATCCGATTATCATTGCAAATATTTTAATACGCAAATATTTTAATTCATTAGAAAGTTTATGCTTATGAGTTAGAAGAGTTCTAATCTAGTCTAATGAAAGAACTTTAAATGTTTGTGAAATTTTGGCTGTTTACTAAATGGCGGTATAGATTTTAGTTAATCTATATCTATATGAACATTAGAAATGAAATGTTGTTGCAAAGGGTACTTGTTTGTTCCTACGGTTGCTTATATGGTAGAAAATACTCAATCGGTTTTACTTACACACAAAAATTTTTGATTGTTATCACGCCGACGAATTGTTACGACAGCAGTAATATTGTAATTATGAAGTGTTACTACAATTTAAGTTTAGAATTACCTTTATCTTGCTAAGAGATGAGATGAAGGTGGATAATCTTTAAATGTTCTTATTTTGAATATGGAATATTTAGATAGTGTTTCGACCTTATATAAGAATTTAAAGGATTTATTTATTTGTTTTTTTATCCGAGCTATGATCATTGGCCGACCATCTCTAATTCCATAAAGGCGAAGGAAAACATCGTGAGGAAACCTGACTATTTTCGAAATAATAACAAAAAACATTTTTATAGACATGTGAAGTCGACCAATCCGCAGTGAGGTCGCGTGGTGGACTATGCCCTATTACCTCTGCACAGAGGAGGCCTTCATGTAGTGTGATATATATAAGCTGTTAAAAGTAAAAAGAAGGCTATTTGTTACTTTACTTTTTTTATCGGCATATAACATGTCCATTGCGCGATGGCCGAATGAAAAGCGTTACGGGTTTGACACCAATGATATTATGTACAAACATAACGAATCATTGGTTTGACACTACATAATATAATACATACTTACAACAGTCGAGTTTTGAAGTTTTTCAAATTATCAACTTGTTTACAATTTATTATTAAGGTGGACAGACTTCTTAAGTCTCTAAAGAAATGAAAGGTTGTGATCCGTCCATTATTGTGTCAGTTTTTAGCAGTAATTTTTTAATTGACCGCAAAAAAGGAACCGCCGTTAAGGGTGACCAAAATTGAAAATACACGAGCGTAATTCACAATCGCGCTTTCGAGATTTACATTCTTAACCAGCCGCCCTTTTTTATAATTAACCGCGAATGCGTGTGGGCGCTTCTCGGTTTTCAAGGTGACTCTTTATCGACTTTCTTCGACTCTAGTTGCACATGCCATTTATTTAATATATAACCTCTTTTGCATCTGGTCTGGCCGCGGAGATCGCAATCAGATGTAGCTACGGCTGCAGAAATTATTAATATGTATGTCTAAATTATATATGACATATCTTTTAATTTTTGTTAGGATTTATCAATGTCAATATCTTTTTAGCAAGATAAACATTTAATAGCAATATAATTGCATGCAATATCATTACTAAAATGCAATAAGACTGTATAGTGTACTATTAGTAACACATCACATCATAAACCCCCGTAAACTAATTGTAATAATATATTAATTGAATTGAAAGAGCGACATTTGTATTTTCTGCGAATTTCGTAGGTCATTTTTGATGAGATTATATTTGTGGCATTATTTTTAAATACGCTTCGTTGTCACCGTTAATGTTAATATT